GGCTTCCCCCCCCGAGAGATCTGTGGAAGACGAGACTCTCCTCTGGCTGGCCGCGCTTCCAGTGTTCGTAATTCAGTGAAGGAGACTTGGACACCTCGCTGAAGCTATCTACTGCAGCGTCCTTCCGCACCCCAAGGAACGGGGCGGGAGCTGCGGGCTGGCAGGATGTAAACACGCCCGTGCCGGGGCTGGGAGAAGCTGGAAAGCTCCTGAAGAGGAAACCCACGTTTGGGAAGAGAGGCTTCACCAGGCTGACGGGGCAGAAGGCAGAACCGGTGGGGTTGAAGTGCACTTTGTTCTTATCCGGGCAGGAAGGCTGGAAAGGCTGATCAGGGCTGGGGGAGCTGAAGGAGAGAGAGCAGAGGGCGTTAGGAACAGGCGCTCCCAAGGGCACCGAGCAGCCGGTGCCTGCAGCCACAGGGAAAACACCCGGAGCTGCGCGCTCTGCAGAGAGCCCGACTAAAAGCTGAGCTGACTCCGTGAGCTGGAGCGCTCCTCGGGAACAGAGCGGCACGAAGAGCCTGTTTTGAGAGCACGCTTATTTATAGGAGCACCACCTCTTCTCAAGAGGCTCTGCTGGCTGAGAAACACCTACTGCCTGGGAAGGGCAAGGCATCACAAGATCCTTCCGAGCGCGTCCGAGGGCTCGCAATTCAGACCCAAGCAGCCACGGTTTTGCTGCAAGTGTTTTCCTAGAGGCTGCTCCCTACTTTTGGAACGGGGCAGGGGAGGCAACTGCAGCGACGGAAGCCTCGGCTGCCCCCACCCCAGCGGCCTCCCATAGGACCAACCCCACGCGAGTTCTCTCCTGCCGACAACTCCTCATACTTACGAAGCTTCTTCAAAGGCTCGGACCTTCTCGCATCCCTCAGGAGGCTCCCGTTTAAACATGTAGCTGTGGTTGGGCCGAGGAGAAGCAGCAAAGGCCAGGACTGGTGAAGGGCTGCCCTCCTCTAGCAGGGAAGAAGAGAGGTTTTGAGAAGTTTTTAGAAGAATCCAGCAGCGCTCTCCGACTCGACACCAGCCGTGCTCTTCTAGACCCTGGGGCTGCAGGCTACAAAAGCCCAAAGCTGCAGCATTGTATCGGGGCAGCTCCCAGCTCACATCCTCCATCTAATACTGGAAACCACCCACCCAGAGGGTAACTACTGGAGCTTTAGAAGTCCGCTACAGTTTAGCCAAACTGGCCAAGAGCCTCTCCCCCATCTCAGCTGCAGCTTCCAACCAGCACGCAGACAGGGAGGAGCCGTTGCACCGAGGTTTTCGTAGCACTGGCCCCCCCTTGGTCTCCCCTGACCTCCCGCCCCTCTGCTTTCAGCCTTTACCTTTCTCCTTTGGATCTGGCTGCACCTCGTCTGCCGCAGAGGAGGGCTCTTCTGCCGCCAGTCTCGCCAGGGTGTGCGGAGAAAGGCGGAGAGGCACGGAAGGGGAAGGAGAAAGAGAGAGGCTGGGGCAGCCGCCCCCGCCCGGGCCCCCAGGGAGGGGGGGGCAC